CAGCAATGTATTTGTCTGTCTGCCCCCACCCCATGTTGAGGTCCTTGAAAAAGGGACTGTTTTCTTTATCTCCATATCCCTAGCAGCTTATCATTGCCCACATATACTAGGCACTCAGTGAAAAAGTGCTGTTTCGTGGTTGGCTGTACTGTTGGCACATCCCCCTTTTTACCTCCACGTTCAGAACTGTGAAATGAGTAGGTATTTCCAGCTTTAAAGAGTTAAATGAAACTTGTAACTGTTTGTGATGGCTCTACCGAAGAATTCCGAAGCCATTATTTTTTCTTCTTCCCCTAGAGGGATATTTGATGTTAACATTTCTCTTCCTGCCTTCTTAAGACCCAAGACACCCCTCAACTAGGGAAAGAACTCTGCCTACAGAACCAGATGGTCAGGAGTAGTGAATCGAGGGTGTTTCCCAGCATACTGAATAGAACCTATATATTTGGTCTACCTTACCACTTCAACACCTCTTTGGAATTTGACTCTAGTTTTCAAATAAATCTTTGGAATGATCATTAGTGTATTTTTTTAAAAGATACTTTGTTATTGGCACAACATCTTCTGGAAATCTGAAAAGAAGTAAAAGGGAATTTAACATTTCAATTTTTTTGAAGATGAAATGGCATGTTGTCATGGCGTGGGACTGCGTAACTTTGTAATCTTAAGTAAGTTACTAGTCTCAACTGTGATTAATGTAAATTAACAGGTGAACAGTTAGTAGTTCTGGGTAAATAGATAAAGATTGTTTAGTTTAGTAGTTCTGGGTAAATAGATAAAGACTGTTTCACTCCTTGTCTGCCCGAAGGAATGTTTTGAAAACCTTGGGACAGTCAGTAAGCATCTTGGGTATAGACCCCCACCCTGCCTATCCCCTTATAAAAAGGACCTCAGCCCCTGAGTTGGCTCCTCTGGAGCCAGGAGTGCTATCTGGCCAGACTAATAAAGGTCTGTTTTCCAACTAGTCCAGTGTGTTACTTCCTGGGTGATTCTTGCTGCTCACCAAACTCATGGAGCAATCGCTGAGCAATAGGTCCCAGCATTGTGAAGGCCCTTTTGGCTGTTCATGGTTCCCGGAAGTAAGGCCTTGGGTCTTGTGTCTGGAGCCCTTGTGGGGCTGTAGGACTCAGCATCGTGGAGACCTTTCGGCTGTTCACACTCCCACGGAGTGGAAGTGAGACCTTACGTCTTACAATGGTCTACAGTCTGAATGCTGCTGAGTGTTTCCACGTATCTCACCTTTCCTAATAGTGGTAAAAGACCAACATTTCATCATTTTTGGGAAAGAGGAAGAGGCCTGCTGATTCAGAAGACCTTTTCTGCCATCATCCTTGTTCCAAGGCAAAGAGCCAACAACTTTTCCTCTCCTTTCTATCCTAGCCAATACAGAGTAAATTAGGGAGGCAGTGGGCTGGGAATCACAAGTAGTAAGATGCCCTAATCTCTAGCTGCAGTGAAAAGAATGGGGGAGGTCTTGGATCCTAACAAGTGTGGAAGAAGCTTTTACAAATCACCATAGTGATAAAGGGAACACAAGAAGAAGGCAACAAACAGCCACCAACCTTTGTGGACAGGGAAGGAATGGGCAAGTCTGAAATCAAGAAAATGTAGGAAACCTTTGGCTGAGATGGGAAACATACATATGAACATATGATATAAAAGCATTTGAGGACTCTATGTTTCACTAGTGCCAGAAATCTGCTTTACAGAGATCTGCTTATATTATCCCACTAGCTTATAACTTATAACCACATATGCATTCTTGTTTTCAAAATTATAGTAGAGGGACTGGGGATGTAACTCAGCGGTAGAGCACTTGCCTAACATGTGCAAGGCCCTGGGTTTGATTCCCAGCATCAAAACAAAAAACAAAAAATGGAACCCCAAAAGTATTTGAAAGGGAAAATGAATTCTTACCAGCCAAGAGAACGTAACTTTTACTTCATAACTAAAGACAAAAGTTTTCTAATTCCAGTGTACCAAAAACCTCTCCTCAAAAAAACAAAAATCTTCAAGACTACAGAGACAAATCCACACTCTTCCAAGGTAGAGTAATTTGACAATCATTTAACAAATTAGGTCTGGTGGTAGGTAAACAGTACAGATTCAAATCCCAAGCACAAATGACTTTCTCTTCCATGGTTACAGAGTGTAGTTCTTCTAACCCATGCTAATGATTGCATGGGTAGAGAAGAGAGGCCTGTCGTCTTACTTGAAAATCTGAAAACTTGCCTATTATTGCTGGTAGACAGATGCATCACCTAAGTAGAATACTAATATATCACTCTATCACAAAACATGAACATTTGGAAAGAATAATTAAGATAATTTTCTGCTTTGAGCTGTAGATTAATTGATCCAAACAAGTTAGTTGAAATAGTAAGAGAGGTGAAAGTTAAGAATTTCTGTCAGTGGTCTGCCAATACTGGTAATTTATACACACCATAGGCTGGCTCTCTGTTTAACATAACTTTTTCCCAAGGTTTTATTTTATTTTTTGTAATTTTTGTGAAGCATGGGGTCATGTACTACCTAGCTTGTTCGTTTTTCAGGGTTTTATTTTCCTTCAGCGGTGTGGCAGTCTCTGTGAAATTTAAGTTTCTCTTATGCTGCCCAAAGATTAAGGGAATGGCAATAAAACATTCCAATTATTAGATATAATATTGTAAACCCACATATTAGTAAATTTTAAATACATTTACTTTTACCTTGAATATTTAGAAAATTTACAAGAGGGGTGTGTGTGTGTGTGTGTGTGTGTATATATGTGTGTGTGTGTGTATATATATATATGCTTTCATTTTTAGGTTTGTTTGTGGGTTTTCTTTTTTTTTGTACCTGGGATTGAACTCAGGACTTTGTGCTTATGAGGTAGGTGGTGGAACCACTGAGCCAAATCCCCGGCCCTGATATTTAGAAAATTTAAATATCATCAACCACTGAATTATATAAGTGTTTTATCAGTCAAAGATTTTGCTAGCTATTAGGTAAATGAGCATAACTTAACTTTATCGTTTTTGCTAATGAAAATGATTTTAAGCTTTCAAAAAAGAGCTGGTCTATGTCCTCAAGCATAAATCTATATAATTATATAGCATGTATAACAGTGAGGACAACAGCCAGCGTTTGAGTATTTGTATAACAATCCAGGAGAAAACCATTTCACAGATTAATATCTTTTTTTTTTTTTTTTTTTTTTTTTTTTTTTGGTACCGGGGATCGAAGTCGGGTCCTTCCTTGTGCTTGCGAGGCAGGCAGCGGAACCACTGAGCTAAATCCCCGGCCCCAGATTAACATCATTTTACAGATGATAAAATGCAAGGTTTGGAAAGATTAAGTAATTTTAGCCAGGGCAGAGTTTTGTGGTTTGCCTCCAGAACTTTAGCCTTCAACACTAATTTAAAGCTGAAAATAAATTAATTTCCAAAATTTCAGGTACTGGAATTAAAGCATTAAAAAAAAATTAAAACCAATAATGTTTAAGGAAATAAAAATATGGTAGGGAGATAGCTCAGTGGTAGAGGGTTTGCCTAATGTCACGGGCCTGAGTTCAAGCCCGAGCATCGCCAAATTAAAAAAAAAAAAAAAAGAAAAAAAGAAAGAAGGCAATTACATGAAACACAATGCTATCAATAAAAATACGAATGAATGTTTAAGCCTAACACTCAATCTTGTATACCTGCCATGGTAACACAAGAAAATCTGGCCACTTTTGGTAAGTCTTGTTACTTAACGAGGCTTATACAGCTAAATGTACTTCTGAATAACACGGAATTCCCAGCTTCACCATTAACTTTGTGAGTGAGTAGTCTAACCTGCTAGTGAGTTTACAAAATAAAGGTAACATCAAAATACCGAGAGCATTTTATTCATATGCACCCTACTTGCATAAATAAAACACAACACACTTACGCACAGGTCCTACCTTCCTGTGTGTGTTACAGCAAAGAACTAAAGTTCCACTTGCCTGTCCCGGGCTCGGCGCTCGGTGGCCGCGCGCTCGGGTGCGCCAGTCCACAGGTGTCTCCGGAGGACGGCGGCGAGAGGAGTGCGCCAGGCGCAGCGGGACAGACTTCTAACCGCACCCGACCGGG